TTTTTTTTTTTTTTTTTTTTGAATTTTGTTCATTTGGAAGCAAATGTACATTGATTAGTTCTATGAAACTTCTGTTTACTGGACTCTTACGAATGAATCTTGTCGATTTCTATTTATATGCTTTTCTCGGTATATTTGATTAGCCAAGTTATACCAATTTCAATATGCCCTTGATTTCAGTTACTGAGGGATTCAGTATTTTTTTTTATTTGATCAGCCAAATAGCTGCTTCGATTTTTTGGTCAATTGAATTCTCTTCTGCAGGAGATTCTTCTTATATAATAGGGTTCTTCACTGTTAGAATATTGGGAATTCCTTCCTGTATTGCAGTTAGTTTTTTTTAATTGGAGCAGAGCACGACTTTTGATTCTATACTGCGTGTTTCTGTGAGTATATAGAATTGTTATAATGGAAGAATTGTTTCTTAACCACAATCTTCTCTACTTCGGTTCATTTTTCTTTTTATTTTACCTCCTCTTAAAGGAACGCATTTCATTGCATTAGTGAAAAGTTACCAAAACATTCACTACTATTGGGAGTTTACCAAAAAAGCAAGAAAGAAAAAAAACTTGATAGTGCACACGGAGAGGATGCGTAGTATTTCGCTAGATACATCCACTCATCCCAATTTAAACACTTTCGTTTGAAGATTCTCTGATTTTTGTCATGCCATAAAGCCCTCACGATCACTTAATAGCAGTAATCTATAGCACTTTAGCCCCAATCTTAAATCTATGATCGCATGCAATCCAAGCCTGAATGATGCCTTTTATTCTTTCATTTTTTCTCAACGAAAGTTGAGTTCATTATTTTTTAAAAAAAAAAAAAAAAATGAAGCCTAAAGGATAGTATCCTTGGTTTATCAACGACCCCAGAACAACCAAAGCAAAAAACGAAGAGTCTAAATATGTTTGGCTTGCAAGAAAAATGGAAAAACTGATTTCATTGGTCCTCCCCTGCCTTTCAGACAAAGTGCAGCAACTTGGACTTTAGATCAATGGAGGGACATCTTCTTTGAAGCCTACTGGCAGTATTCATACCTTCCTGATAAAGAAGCCACACAAAAGGCTTCAACTTCTCTGGACCATTTATCTTCTAGATATGTGTCTATGCAATGTAGGTTGCGGTTTTGTGAGCTTTTAAATAAAGATTTCACAGTTAATTGGCCGATGGATGTTGGTAGTTATTTCCATGATTTAAGGTTTGATTTTAATTAATGGTCTTGAAAGAAAATTTACAAATATGTAAAGTAAACATTTAAGAATGTTAATTCAAGGGTGTGGAAGAAAAATTACATCTAACTTATGCTTGATTATCTCCTTCTCCAAGCCATTGCATTGCATTCACTAAATTATGAAACTACTAGTTTTCTGTTATATTGCTGTTTCTCTTAGTTTAGTAAGAACGCCCATGTGTGAACTATGGACCAGTTTTTTCTGATCCAAGATTTGGCACCAAGATGCAGCTATCAACCCTCAACATTATATGGTGCTGGACATTAGAACTTACACAGTAAAATTATTCTTGTGCTAATGGGGAATCTGTAGTGGTGCAGATTGAAGGCCTGTTTGAAAGCCAGGTTTAAAACAATTTTCTCTTTCTAAAAATTAAGAAAATAACTGTTTTAGATGTACAATTGTTTTTGGTAGAATAATATTTAAAAACATTCTTAAGGACAAAACTATTTGAAAACAGTTATCTACAAAGCAGTTTTAGAAATGGTTTTTTAAAAATACACCCAATAAACCCTTGAAATGGTGAATGTAACTGCTACCATTTGGTTGCTGTGTTTTAATTTTTTGAGGTACTTTTTGCCTTCATTTATGATCATATTTGATTTATTCCAGAGCTTCCCAAGTGGATGATATAATTCGTATGGATGGTCAACATTGGGGAAACATATTGGTTTTAAGAACCTAGATGGAAGTCATGGATGTCATGGTGCAGAAAATGTGACCTGTGCTCATGGAAGATTTCCAAGGGTAATTTCATCTTTAACCAAGTGAAACTCTCTTCTACTTCTGTACCTTTCAACGCTGTCATAACCTGCACACTTCGTTTTTCAGTCAACATATTTGAAGAGCATTTGTTCTTTTCAGGACTACTGAGAATGTTTTCGCAAATGGAGATGTATATATCGGCAGTTTCAAAAATAGTTTGCTATATGGGAAGGGAAAGTACACTTGGTTTGATGGAACAACTTATGACGGTGATTGGGAAGATGGAAAAATGACAGGTAAGGGAAAGATTATCTGGCCATCAGGAGCAAAATATGAGGGTGAAATCTCTGGTGGTTATCTTCATGGTTTTGGCACCTTCAACTATTCTGATGGGTCCATCTATAATGGAGATTGGAGGATGAATATTCACCATGGGATTGGACAAAAACTATATGCTAATTTAGACATTTATGATGGATCTTGGAAAGAAGGGATGCCTGAAGGTTGTGGTAGATACTTCTGGAGTTCTGGAAATTCTTATATTGGGAACTGGAAGGGTGGGCAAATGTGTGGTAAAGGGATCATGAAATGGGTAAATGGTGATCATTTCATTGGCTTTTGGTTGAATGGATTTCGACATGGTTCTGGGGTCTATCATTTTGCTGATGGTGCATATTACTTTGGATCATGGAGTAGGGGCCTCAAGGATGGAAAAGGAACATTTTATCCTGCTGGAAGCAAACCACCATCCCTGGAGAAGTGGCATAACTTTCTTGGTTATGATATTCATGGAAAAGGGTTTCTATCTCGTACGCTGTCACTAAATTCAGAGAAAGAAAAAGCTCCAAAGCATGGCCTTAAGCACAGTTTCTCAGAGAAATTTTCCGTCACTGGAATTTCAAGTGCTGGACTATCAAATTGGCCTAGGTCGATGGACATAAATTGGGGCTTAAGTGATCCTACTCGAGAAGCATTAGCTGATGAAGATTCTTGTATGATGTCCCATACATCTGATCAAGGTCAACATAATGTAGCATATAAGGATAGAACGGTTTATGAAAGGGAGTACGTGCAAGGAGTGTTGATACAAGAGAGGGTTAAGGACTATGAAGAAATATTTCATAGAAGTAAGGAACAAAAGAAAACTACTGTCAAAGAAGCAAGAAAGGTGTCATGCATTAACTTCTTTGAAAGTCGTCGGAGCTACTATTTAATGCTTAATTTGCAACTTGGTATAAGGTAAATCTGTTAATTTTATGACTATGTAGGTTAAATTTGTTATGCTAAATGACTCTAATCTGGACCACAGGCTGCCTCATATTTGCATATAATGAGAATTTTTGTAAGCAATGAAGATAGAATTAGATTAGTTTGAAAGGATACCTAGATAAAACAAATGCCGAAAATATTCTAATATAAATCTTTAGTAGTAGCACAAGTAACACTTCGATGAATACTATCATACACATTCCCATAAATTGTACTTGACAAGAACTGATCCACATAATTATGTATCACAAAGTTATTTTTTTTTCTTTTGCTGATGATGGCTATCATAATTCAAGTTGGAAAAGAATGAGAGATCTAGAAATTTGAACATAAGAATAAGAGTTGCTTGCAACTTCTAAATTATTTTAGGATGTTTTTTCTTTTCTTTTGGGGATGCTTGGAAAGATAAAATGGTTGTTTTTAATAATTAGAGACTGATAATGGAAATTCATGAAGAATTCGAAGGATAACCTATACATTAGAAGGCTTCTATGCATCAGTGGTCAATGAAACAAAAATCACCCTTTTAGGGATCTTCCGCTTCCAAATGGCCTTTCTCCCATCTATATCAATCAGTCTTCTTGGAAACTCTCAACAAAGGAAAGAAAGTCCAACTTTGTTGAAAAATTTCTTCTCATCTCCCTCTGTTGCAAGAGTGAGGTATATTATTCTGTATTCTTATTATTCATCACAAAAGAACATAAACCTATTTGTAATTCAACCAATTCTCTAGAGAAATGAAAACAATACAGAAAAGGAAACATGCAAAGAAGGAAATAATACAAAAGGGCAACATGGCAGAAAACAAAATACTACAAAAAGGGAAATAATAGAACATAGGAAGTAGGCTAATTTCCTTATTTAATGAGATTACCTGTACTCCTCAAATTAAGTTTATTCCTTTGACTCCCTCAAGCTGAAGAATAGTTATCATTCATTCCCAGTTTGGATACTAACCCATGAAACAAATAACTGTGAAGTTCTTTTGTTAGCAACTCTGCTAGTTGGGGCAAATAACTCATGCATAGTATCACCTTCTATAATAGCACCTCTTCTATAAAATGCTGATTGATTCCAATATGCTTTGTCCTATCATGCTAAATAGGATTAGGAGCAATGTTGATGGCTGATTTGTTGTCGCTATACAACTTTATTGGACCTTCTCCCTTAATCTATAGGTCATCCAGGTTTATCTTCAACCATAAAAGCTCACACAGTCTTTGTGCAATATTTCAAAATTCTGATTTAGCATGTTACCAAATTTCCTCCTAGAAAGTGCAGTACCCCATAGTAAGTCGTGTTGGCGCAAGCTTTTGATGCAAGAGAATTGTTTCGTTCGAAAAAAATTCATTTTCCTGAAATCCCTTTCATGTAACATTCTATATGCTGGCTCCCATGGGTCATGCATAAATTGGCTAATTATGCTCATTGAGTACGTTTACGTTCGATCTAGTGTGAGCAAGATATATAAGCCTCCCCACCTGCCTATGGTGCATCTCTCTATTCATTGTAAGTTAGTCTTTTTAGACTCTCGCAACTTCTGATGTGGATTCATTGATGTTGTTGCAGGTTTACATCCATGTTTCCTAATTCCCATATATATATTTCTCATATATTTTTATTGTGATATGAAGATTCTCTGAGTTGAGTATGCTACCTCAGTGCTGAGAAAGTATTTTAGCCTCCCAAGTTCTTCGATTTCGCATTCTCTCATCAATTTCCTCCTAAGCTCAATCTTTTTTTTTCTTCATTATCTTTAGTTACTATGATGTCATCTACATATTGAAGCACGGTAAATTCCCTTGATTTTGAGCCCTTGATAAAGGGAGTGTGATCTCCTTGACTTTGCTTATATTCACAATTGTTCATCACCTTTGTGAATCTTTCAAACCACGTCCTTGACGATTATTTTATTCCGTAAAGAGCTTTTCTTAGCCTCCGCACTCACTCCTCTAGTTTTCTTCAAATCCTGGGGGAATGCTTATGTAGATTTCCTCATCTAGATCGTTGTGAAGGAACATATTCTTCACATTATACTGTGAGAGCAGCTAATTTAAGTTAGCAACCAAGGTAACAATATTCTTATGGTATTCATCTTTGTAACTAGAGCAAATGTCTTTCTATTCCGTAAGTTTGAGTATATCCCTTAGCTACCAACCTTGCCTTGTACCTTTCCAAAGTTTCATCATCCTTGCACTTCGCTATGAAAAGCAATCTGTACTCAACTATATTCTTCCCTTTTGGCATATCTACAAGTTCCCGCGTGTTGTTCTTTTCCAGAGCATGCATCTTCTCTCATAGCCTTCTGCCATTTTCTTTTGGATAAAGCATCAGAAACTGTATTAGGTATAACAATTGAATTTAGACTCACAATAGAACTTTTGTGTGATGGAGATAATCTTTCAAGATAAATATAATTTGATAGAGGATATAAGGGCTGTTTTGTACATTATCTAGTGTGTTTATGAATAGTTATGATATTGTCATCTATTGGTCATCTGGAGTTCCATTTCATACCTGTGTTGCATTTATTTTTTAGTCGTTTCGAATGTTTAGACTTTTATCGGTTCTGAAATGACTTTCCTAGTAGCATATACATGATAGAACAATGGATCTGGCACTGAAGGTGGATTGGACGATTTAGGCGGTGGCTTTATTCTAGCTAGATCTTGGCTTGCAAGTCATGATTGGAATTGGTAGTAGGAGTGGACTCAATAGTTATTGTTCCTATGTTCTCAAGTTCAATTGTTTACCACACTTTCTTCAATTACTATGTTCTCCCTCTGAAGAGTGGTATTAGAGAAGAAAGATTTGTGCTCGGTGAATGTCACGTCAATTGAGTTGTACGACCTCCTAGATGTTGGATTGTAACATTTATACCTCTTTTTTGTTGAAGATCACCCTAAAAGACATACTTAATTGCTCTAGGATCGAGTTTGTCTCTTTGAGCAAGGTTTGAGACCATTTGATGTTTGAAAGTGGTATGAAATTGATTGACAACTTCCATTGGGCTTAGATTATTTAGGATACGAGATGGGAGATGATTAATCATTTGGGTTGTAGTAAGAACACAGCCTATCTCCAGTAAGACTTTGATATGTTTCCGTGAATAAGAAAAGCTCGGGTAGTGTTTAGAAGGTATCCATTTTTCCTCTCGGTCACTCCATTTTGTTGTGACATAATAACACAATAAGAGTTATGAATAAGGCCTTAAGATCGAAAGTATGGAGATAAGGTTTGATTGAAGTGATCTTTAGCATTGTCCGTTCTAAATGTTTTAAATTTGACTCCAAATTGAGCCTGAATCACACACAGAATAATAGTACTACAATCAAATTTTTGTTTGAGGAGGAATAACCATGTGACTCGAGTGCAATCAACAATTAATGTGAGGAACCAACAATCACTAGATATTTGGAACAATTGAGGATAGTCACCACATATCAATATGAATCAAATGAAAAAAGTAGGACTTTTATTATTATTATGTATGAAAACATATACGTGTATGTTTGACATGTTTGACAGATACACATGTAGCATGATGGAAATCAAGAACTTTGAATCCTTAAAACAAATTTAGAAACTTAATTTTTAAACTCTAAATGAGGGATGATCCATGTGAAGTTGATGTATCTGATGAACTAAGAATAGGCTGATGGAACTTCCTCTATTAGTGATGAGATTTTTTATTTTTCTAACATGATAGTGGAATAAACAAGAGGGAAAAACGTTGGGTGGGTCTTGGCCATGGTGAATGGTCGTCAACTATGAAGGTTTCACCGATTAGGGTAGACTTTAGGTTTAATTAGCAATAAAGGCTTACTTTTTATTCTTATTATTCATCATAGAAGAAAATAGGCTTATTTACAATACAACTAATTCTCTAGAGAAAAGAAAACAATATAGAAAAAGAAACAAACAATAAGAAAAGGAAATAATTCAAAAAAAAAAAAAAAGGAAAAAAAAAAAAGAAGAAAAAAGCAGGAAAAAAACATGACAGAAAAGGAAATATTAAAATAAAGGAAACACTAGAAAATAGGAAATAGAGATTGCACCTATACTCCTCAAATTAAGGTTATTCCTACGACAACCTCTTCCAAATAGTTTGGTTATTTCCCTTTGAAGGTGAATCAAGTCCAATTTCTCAGTGAGGAGCGCCAAATTCTCCAGCTCTCTGTCGGAAGAATGACTTTTCATATTCAAGCCTTGACTGAAAGTTACATTACATAGCAATGTGGATTTCAATGAAGTTTTGAATGTGAAAAGTAAATCAAAATTATAAAAATTTCAAAAAAATGTAAAATTTTAGGACAAAAAGTTAAACCTAAATTGTTTGAAGATTGAGAAAATATTTATATCTTTCCCATAGAAATGTAAGTCAGAATAACGGTGGAAAAAAGGATCTAGATACAGCCCTCTTGCAATTACTCTAGAAAGCCAAGGTGATGGTTTACTGGTTATATATTTAAGTTCTTGCCATTCATACAGAAAGATGTTGTCTTAGCCTTATATTTGAAACTTGGAACAGAATGCTAAGCTGACCTGACCAGTTTATACACAGACCCATTCAGCTATGTATTTGTTTCTAAATAGCGCTGTATTTCACCTACTCAGTTCTTATGACCAATGAGGCAGTTGATGAATGGAGGAACGGAAAGCATGGTTTTCAATTTAGATATAAAAGATGCTCTTATCTGGGATTTCTGAGTTTTTCCTTTGTGAAATTACTCTATTGAAAAATTTTAGGCTAAATTACAAAAATCACTTCTTCCAAAGTTGCAATATTACTCTTAATCTTTCGTAAATGTTTCAAAACTATCCTTGAAATATGTTAGAATGTTGTACGGAAATTGGGATCTTGAACGAGTGTGGTAGTAATTTGAAACCGCATGGCAGTATTCAGATCCCAATTTTCTAAATTTCCGAAGTTTTATGACATCAACAAAATATGTATTTCCTTTTTTAAAGATAAACTTTTTTCATTGATTAAATGAAAAATCATATAATAGTAATTTGCCAACTAGTGTATTTCCTTTTTAAAAAATGCTCTTATCAAAATGGAATGGGATTTTCTTGATAATCTCGGTTAATAAAGGGAGTTTGCCAAGATTACCCTTAAATATCACTTTCCTTTTCTTCTTTTTTCAGAATAGATTATTCCTGAAGGGCTGGATAATCGGTAAATAGTGTTTTCCCCATTTTTAGTGACTGTCCAAATTATTTATCTTCAGTTTGCCAATGGTACATCTTCTCTGATTGTGACGACATTAGCTTAGTATTGTTAAGATTTTCCAATTGTGCCTCTAGTTATCATTTAATATGAGCTAAGTACCAGGCTGCTGACATTGAAGTTTTAGAGCAGGATGTAATCTTTCTTGATGCCTACAATCTTGAGAAAATTTTATAGTTCTCTGAGTTATAACTATAATGGTTAGAATTAACCATCCTTAATAAAAAGTTATAGGTAATTCTTTTTTAAATATTTAATTATTCTAATAATTGTTTCTCAAATTAAGTGATTAACGTTATTCCCATAAGTAAACGAATGCTAACTAAAGACCGGAAATAATGCTTCCTAAAGGTTGTCTGGAGTTTATTTTTAGGCCTGTTCATGAGATGTCTAAACTGAATTAAATAATAATGCATACTAATTATCTTATTTGAAGTTTTCAGGTATACTGTTGGTAAGATTACGCCAGTTCCCATGCGTGAAGTTCGATCTTCTGATTTTGGAAAACGGGCTAGAATAGTGATGTACTTTCCTGGAAAGGGCTCTCAGTTTACACCTCCACACTATTCTGTTGACTTTCATTGGAAAGACTATTGTCCTATGGTCTTCAGGTAGTTAATAATCTACTTAGCACCTCATTCACAAATTTCTTATTTATTATTATATCATCATACTCATTTGCACTCTATAATTTACTGATATGTTCTTCGTTCAAATAATGATCATAACTTATAACCTTTATTTGTTATGATTATTTTTTCATAATATTAGGAATTTGAGGGAGATGTTCAAACTAGATGCAGCCGAGTATATGATGTCCATATGTGGCGATGATGGTCTAAGGGAACTCTCATCTCCCGGGAAAAGTGGAAGTATCTTTTACCTTTCTCAAGATGATAGATTTGTGATCAAGACTCTGAAGAAATCTGAGTTGAAGGTTTGAAGGCATTAAACTAAAGATCCCTGGCTTGACTTTATTTGTTAGTGAATTCCAAAACCCACTTTCCTATGATCTTTAGTGCACTTTCTTAAAAATTCAATTATGATGGTTTGGAACACCTCCATAAAGATGGCTACAGGATTGCTTCTTTAAAATATAGTTTTCCTGTTGTTTCCCTAAGAGGGCAATTCTACTGTGCTTGATTGATATCATGTCTGAAAGAAGAATTTCTTTTTTAAAATATTAAAATTGTTCAGCTTTAATGTACATATGTTAGGATGATACCCTGAGATTTACATATTCTTAGGGCCAAAAGAATGGGGAGGACAGCAAGTTCAGCTGGTCTGGTTGAAAAAGTGGTTTAGAGGTAATTTTGATTATTTTTAAGCTAGAAGAATGTAGAGAGTTACGTAACTGGATAATGTTTAGAAGGAAATACTATTTTTGGATGGAGTAGTTTTTCGCATTTAACAAAGGGATCAAGAATTGGTAAACATAATACCAGAGAAATTGCTACTCAGGAAACTAATATAAGAAAAATACTCTAAAAATAAAAGACTTATATTTAATCTGAACACAAAACTACACTACCCTCAAGATAGATTGTATATAGAATACAAGCCAAACTTGGAATTGAATTCATCAAAGTTTTTCTTCGGTATACTTTGGAGAAAATGTCAACAACTTAATCCATACAGAGATTTTTTCAACTTGCACCCCAAGCTTCTGTTAGAATGGTTCTCCATTCTAAAAGGAACTTGCATATAAACTTCTTTGAGATTACCATTCAAGAATATATTTTTGACATCAAGTTGACAAAGAGGTCGGTCTTGATTTACAACTAATGATAAAAGGACACATAAATGTTCAATTTGCCAATGAGAGTAAACATCTCTTTGAAATCTATACTATATGACTTGGTGAAGACCTTGGCAATAATTCTTGCTTTGAATTTTTCGACACGGACATCTGACTTATATTTAACCGTGAAAAATCATTTGCAGCCAACCATATTCTTTCCAAGAGGAAGCATTGTTAGAGTCCATATTCCATTACTTTCAAGGGGTATAATTTCTTCATCCACAGCCTTTTTCCACCTTCGGTCTTCAAGTGCATCTGGAATAGTGTTTAGAACTTGTCCAACTGAGTTACAAGGGCATGATAAGACGAAAGCACATATTTTTCAATTGGATGGCTGATAAAACTCTTATTGGTGGGTGCAACATCTTTTATTAACGGAGCCATTGAAGTAATATTCCCATGAGCAAGATTCGAAGAGGATGAGTCAGGTTGAGGTGGTTGATATTTCGAGTCTTGCAAGGTAGCCTCTTTCCTTCCCTTGTAAACAATAGGAGTTCGACTTCGTCAGACTACATGTTAGTTAGAAACAATAGGTTGATCCAACATAGAAACATGTAGCTTATTTGGAGGAGAGTTTAAGACCTCGGCCACAATGGGAGTAGAAGTTGTGACACATGTAGACTCAACTTTCATTGGTTTTAATTCCCTCATATTCTCCCGTGAATATGAGGCTTGCTGAAAAAGGACTGATTTTCAAAGAAGGAAATTTTCATTGATGATTTGGAATATCACTGGCAAACATGAGAGAACGAGCTACCTCAAAAAGGTCTCCGAAATCACTGTGGCTTAGTGCAAAAGAGTTCAAAGATTTGTAGCTCACACTTGGAGAACTATTTTGGGTATGTTTGGAGGTTGACAAATTTTGCACTGAAAAAAAGACTCGAATTCCTGTTGATGAATAAATGAGGAAACAATTTCTCAGGATACAAAAAATTCGGATGACCCAAATGAAAGCACCATAACATTATTTGAATTTCGTTTGACAAGGACCGGGAAGAGGACTCGAGAATAAGACTAGTAGAATTGGAAGGACTTATGATTTGAGTTGAAAGACAAGCCTGGATGATGTTTTTCCTGAAAGAAGATAGAGGTCACCATGTGCTTAGCATTGCTAATTACCTACCGAGATTCACTTCCTAAAATTCATCCAAGTTTATATAAAACTTAAAGATCAGTCCAAATCACTCATAAGTTTGCTTACTGACATCAAATTACAAGTCAATTTAAAACGCAAAGGACATTACAGAGTAAGAGATTGTTTGATAATTTTATTCACTTCATTTGTGTAACTTCAGAGAGAGATCCATCTGCAATTTGAACTGATGAGTGACCAGATTGTGAATTGAACTCATTACAAACAGTGATGTTGCCAGTCATGTGATATGATGCTCTAGAGTCTGCAATCCATGGTTTTTATATGTTATACTGCATGAAAAAACATGGTGAGATACTATAATGAGCAAGATAACGAGTGGCCTTATGTTTTGTCATGGTGAATGAGAAGTCAGTAGATTCATCTATTGAGATTGGACAATTGAGTGAGCCATGACTGCAAGAGAGAAACCATACCAACAATCAAACTTGTATTCTTGCAGCCTGGTGACTTTACCAAATGGAGCTAGCGGAAGAGAGAAGGTAGATCAGATTGAACTTTGAAACACAAAAGACCCACAAACGTGGATCTAATTTTCTATAAAGATAAGTCCATGAAAACTAGGATTGAATATAGACCCACGAAGGTGTGGCCAAGAAGGAAGGAGAACAATGACAATCTTGCCTTAGAATATAAGGGAAGAGCATAATAAGTTTGTGGCAGCACAGTGGATTGAAAACACATGGGTGGACGATTATGTTGTCCAACCCAGGTACTAAAACTGTGGGCCGAATAATCACGAACTAGGAATAAGTCTCTCTTTTAAGGTTGGGGAATCTGCTAAAATATGATGGAGTAGGAGTACTTCAAATACTTGACAAACAGAACAGCAAACCATGTATGATAAACTATTTATCAATAAAGCAAGGATTTAGAAAGCTTGGGTTGAAGGATTTAGAAAGCTGAATGCTATCCTTAACTCACTCCACTCGAGAAACCAACATCCTTCTGCAGACTTCGTTCTTACAAATGCTGTTTTGCTTGTATTCTCAGTAAAAGAAGAATGACTTTGTAAAATAGACTTTGATTAGAACTAAAAATTTCTCTGTGAAATCTTTTGGAAAATCTAATGTTAAATCTCAAAACTTCTGTAATAATTTGCAATAAGCCAAAACAGCTAGTTAGTACAAGTATTTATAGGATGGACAGCAGCCTTTTCTAAACAAAGATAAGCCAATCAGCTAAGACCTAAGATTTAAACAAGAACCACGGTTAAACAACTTTAGCCATGCCTAAAAAACTTAACAAAGAACACCCAAGAAGGAGGTACAAAGGCCCAAGAATCCTCATAAGAAATAGAAGAAAGCCTTCGAGAAATTCACTATATCAAAATCTCTGGGTAACTCTTATTATGGATGATGTGAAAAACTGACAGACTCAATATGCATAAACCACTCCCTTAAGAAAAGGAGGTGGTTGAAGACCTCTTCCTTTTGTTTAATTCTACAAACCATTTTAAAATAATAAATAATTAAATATTAAATAAGTAAATAAAACAAAATATAAACATCTTTAAATTACCAGAACTATTATGAAGAAAATCAGATTAAACATCTTTTCTCTTGGGGAATGATCAGATTAAGAAATCATGTCAGAACCTGATTAACAGTCTATTTCCTTTCTCCAGGCTTTACTCAAAATGCTTCCTAAATCTTCTCTCTTGGGGAATGATCAGATTGAGAATACATGTCAGAACCTCACTAACAGTCTATTTCCTTTCTGCAGGTTCTACTCAAAATGCTTCCTAAATATTATGGTCATGTAAAAGAACATGAAAATACCCTCATAACAAAATTTTTTGGTCTCCATCGCATAACAATTTATGGTCACCGTAAGGTATCTACTGTCTGCTATATGGATTTATCTTCTTTTATGCTAAACTTGTTGGTTTTCACCTCTAATCACTCCATTTATATCTTATCAGGTACGCTTTGTGGTCATGGGAAACATGTTCTGCACAGAATTAAAAATTCATCGTCGTTATGATCTGAAGGGCTCAACTCTCGGGAGATATACTCATGGAGATAAATCCAGAGATGGTATAACAATGAAGGATCTCGATTTGTCATATGAATTTCATATGGACAAATTATTGCGACAATCCCTTTTCAAGTACTTTCCTTCTCTTAGAAGTAAATTTCTATAGGTAGCACTTCGGTCAATGAGCAGTCTTTAAGATGTCTGGATAATGAAACTGGATACTAAATAAACTCTATTTTTTAAGCACTTAAAATTATGATGGCAATACAAAAAAAGGACAAAATTATATTAAAAGCTTTTCTTATTTTTTAACCGTATGATTGCAATTGGAAAACTTTTTTTTGTTCTTGCTTGTGGTGGACAATTTAAGTAGGATTATTTGTCTCGATCCTTTTTCGTGTTTCCCTTTTTTGTGTCATTTATCCTTGATGAGGAATCTTTTGGTGGCAGATGTATTTCCCTTTCCTAGACGTTTTCTTTCCTCATGCTTGGGTTTTGGCGTTCTTTTCATCTTGTTTTCCTTGTTTGTGTCATTTGTCCTTGATGAGGAAGTTTTTGGTGGCAGATGTATTTCACTTTCCTGGACCTTTTCGTTGTCCATGCTTGGGTTTTGGCGTTGTTCTTTATTTGATAGGAAAACATTGGATGTTATCTCCCTTCTTTCGTTGATTGGGGAGGTTTCTTGTAGTCTGAAGAGTAGGAATGTTCGTTTTGAGCCCTTGTACTTCCAAATGCTTCTCTTGCAAGTCTTTCTTTTGTAGTATGGTCAATCCCTCTCCCTTGAGTGGTGCCATTGCCTGACTGTGGAAAGTGAAAATTTCAAGAAGGTTAAGTTTTCTTCATGAATGGGTTAACACCTTGGATCGAGTTTTGATAAGGTTGCGAAACTTGATTAGGTTGTTTTGTTGCATTCTTTATAGGCAAGTGGATGAGGACCTTGACCATATCCTCGGGAACTGTGATTATGCATAAGCAATCTAAAGTTGTTTTTTTCGAGGATTTTAACTTAAGTCTGACTAGACATTGGGGCTACAAAGAGATGCTTGTGACAGATTGGGTGTGTGTGGTTTTGTGGGGTATTTGGAGTGAGGAATAACGAAGTCTTAGGAGAGTTTTCTTGTATGTTTATTGTTGTAGTTTCCTTCATAGAATTAGGCTAACTGTTAATTTTTTGGATATATGATTGGCATCCTTCTTGTATAAATATTTCCTCACTCACTAAGATGTCAGAAAATTACTCTCATACATTGCTTCAGACCTTTGTTAGATTCAACATCTCTTAGTGAGCTATGATGACCAAGTCATTTGTAAACTATTCATTAGGTCTTATTTTGCTTGATTGGAGACCCTTTAGTTTGCCTTTTTCTTTTGTGGGACACTTTTTTGGTGGCTTCTTTCTTTCTCCCCGTGGGAAGAAAAATAGATAATGCTCTAAGATTGGAAATATGGGAATAAGGTTTGATTGAAGTAATTTCTAGCTTGTTAGTTTGAAATGTTTTGATTTTGACTACAAATTGGGTTTGAATCATTGAGTGGAAGACAAAAATAATATTACTAACATCTGATTTTTGTTTGAGAAGAATAGCCATGTGACCGAAGTGCAGTCATCAATTAGTGTGAGAAATCAACCAGCACAAAGAATATTTAGAACTTGGACTTTTGAGAGTCCCCCATATATCACTATGAATCAATTGAAAAGAGGTAGAACTTTTATTTTGACTAATGGGAAAAGATATCCAAGTAAAACAAATTCACATGTATCACAATGAAAATAAAAAACTTGGCATCTGTCAAACAAACCTGAAAACATAATTCTCAAAACTCTAAAGGAGGGATGACCCATACAGAAGTGATAAACCAAATCCCATAGTTAATGGGAGAACTAAAATATGACACAGGTGCATAACTGGTTGTTCTCTCAGGTAATTCTTCCTTAGTAAGTCCAATCGTTAGTTTCAAGACTTATTCTTGAAAAAAGACAACATGAGGAGGAGAAAATAACCCTACAGTGGCAGTCGTAAGTAAGCATTTGTAAGGAAATAAGGCTATTAGGGGACGTGTAGAACGTTTTTAGTGTACGGATGAGAGATGAATGCATCGCCCATTCCTGCAATGGTTGCATTTGTTCCATTTACGACTGTATTTTTCAATTCCTTAGGCATGAATTATATGTTTTAAAATATTGGAGTGAGAGGTCATGTGATTAGTTGCACCAGAGTCTAGAACCAAAAGTTAACCTACTTATATTTGAAGAATTTATATAAAAAGCGAATAAAGACTTGTGAGATTGTCAAAGCATTGGAACTAGATGGTTTATTGAGGGAGTACAAGAACACCTTCAATCTCTCAATTTCTTTATTATTGAATCTACTAGTCTCCAGAATGAGTGGCTTTTATTCTGATTTGGACTCCTCGGTGATGTATGCTTGTGCCTTCGACATTTCTCCTTTGTTTTCCAAACCACGATTTTTTTTGGCTTTCCCAATTTTTTCATTTATGGTTGGGAGGTTTTCCATCCAACTTTCAGCAACTCTCCTTCGTCTGTGGCGGTTTCCTGTAGTGGGTACACCATAAGTTGTCTTTTTTACTTCCATTGGTTGTTAATTCCATTATTTCTATCTTTCTCTAGAGCAAAGGCTGATGTATCTAAAACTGGGTTGTTTGTCAAGCATAAAGCTTCGTTTGTGATCTTCGGCTAGAATAAGGAAAATTGTTTCTTCTAGGAACGATGTTTCCTCTTTTTTGATGATTTGTACACGAACTTGGTCAAACTTGTTGTTGAGACCTGCCAAAAAATTACAGAATACCCAATAATAATCAAGTTCTTGCCACAATGTTTGCAAGACATTGGCATATTCAATGACAGTTTTTCTTCTTACTTCATGGCTCCGGTCATTTCTTGATTTCATAGATTTGAGCAGCATTTCTTGTCTAGGAGTAAGTGTGACGAATTAAATTTCATATGGCTTGTGCATTCAATCAAAATATGCATGTATCATTGATGGATGGCTCTATAGAATCCCAAAACCATGACATAATCATGGAGTCTTCCTTGTCCCATACTGTAAGTCTAGGACCGTCTTTGCTGGTTCTAGTCCAATGAGGTGCTGAAGTTTTCCCTTTCCCTTAAGGTACATCTGCACGATATGAGACCATTTGAGAAAGTTTTTTCTGTTCTGTCCGTATCACAAAGCAAATGGGTTGAAGAACACCTGTCTATTGGGTTATAGAAACTTCCTCTGCTAGTGATGAAATTTTCGTTTCTTCTTACATGATGAATTGGTGCGCCTTAGTCGGAAGAGAATGATCACAGATGAAATTCTGGGCTTGAGGGATATGGGCTTGTGGTGGATAGGAATATGGGCGAATGGATGGGGAAATGTGGGCTTACGGTAGACGTGGGATTTCGGTGGACGTAGGCTTAGCTCTTCTGGGATTGATTTTTTTGTATGCCCCTATATTCTTTCCTTTTATCTTAATGCTCAATTTATCCAATTTTTTTTTAAATTTGTATTTAGATTTCAAAATAGCCGCTGATGCTTCGTTGGGTTTAGTTCTATCCCTTTTATTCTAACATTTTTTTAATAAATCTCCACCACTAAATAAATAGTATTTTAATGCCACTTCACCAGATTGATTGTATTCTTGCAATGGTTGATAGTGAGACAAAAATGAAACCTTTTAAATATTAAGACAAAATTAAATAATTATAGAATTATATATTTAGCTTATTTTTCTCTCCAGATTGATATAATGTTCACTAAGAGTGAGTTAGAAGTCAATGTAACATGACCACACTTATCAAGTTAATTCTTCTTTTTTTTTTTTTAATGCTAGACAAATTTCTCTCGATTGCATGTTTTTGGAGTCTCTGAACATAATTGACTATAGCCTACTGCTCGGAGTGCATTTTCGAGCTCCTGAGAAACTGAAGGCTTTGTTGGAACCTCCTGCTACAGTTCATAATCCTGATAATTTACACCATGATGATGGTTAGTTTCCTCTACCTTGACAATATTACCTTATGAACTTGTTCAGTTTCTACATTGACGTTAATGAACACTACTGTGATTTGAATGTTTTGGTCATTGTGGATCTTACTAGAATTAATTAAGTCTTATATTACCAATCAACCGAAAGCTTAAGATGATGAGTGACAGTATATTTTATTATATCAACATCCACTTTTGCGGATGGTATTGTTATTTGCTCACAAGAATCTTACACTACAGAGTAAGGCTCAAGCCATTTTTCTAGAAGACTTTGTTACAAATCCTTAAATTCCCTAGTTCTAACCCCCAAGTTTCACTCGTTTTCTTATCACCTCCCAAGTCAGAAGGTGCATCCTTCTCTCCTCAACTCCTTCCCACAAGAATCTCTCATAAGATTTTCGATAATCTTACATCGAACAGAGGGTCCTAGGAATACGTCTTAAAACTGACCGAATCAAGGTTTATCTTTTTCCTTTGAAGAGGAAGCATCTCTTCTTCTCTTCCTCACCTTATCCACCATGGAGTTCCAAAAAGAGTATGAGTCTAGGATTACTCCAAGAGGAAGACCTAGATAAAAAGGAAAGGACCAATCTCACGCCCCACACGAGTGCCCACCTACCCACTTTCCTTCACTTTCTAAGGAAAAAAAATTTAGCCCCATGATCTGACCTTTTCCTCTATTAATCTTAAGTCCCGACATACACTCGAAGAATGCTAAAATATAATTAAACAAAAACAATGACTCCTTTTTAGAACAAAAGAAAATAGCATCATCTGTGAATTGGAAATGGGATACCAACACTATATCCTTGCCCACCTCAAAGCCTTCTAGAATCCTACCTTTCATCCTTTTAGATTGGAACCTAATTTCTGTAGTTATGGTTTTGTCTTCTTTGTACACCTGTTCAAGGAAAGCTTGGTTTCTTTGAAAAGAAAACGGTTCATACACAACTTAATGAACTGAAAATTTATTCCCAAAAAAGAAAACCGGTGGCACTTTCAGAATCTTATCTTTCATTACAATATGTTAAAGGGATCTTCTTTTTCCCTTTAGTTGCCATTCTTTTTCTTTCCTCTCAAGAAGGAATGTGTGACGGGCCCAAGTCTACGATCGAGTTATGGGTCTCTCGTAAGTGGAGGTAGACGGTGTTTATGTGGGGGGGAGGAGTAGAATTCTTATTTTGACCTATTTTGAATCACTGTAAGGCTCATAGTGGGAACCTTAATACCAATAAGTTTAACCACTCAATTGAGAATTTTTTGGTACCATCTCCATTGATGTTTATGACTATTTATACAAGTTGTATAATAACCATTGCTACATCAATGAAATCATGACTCAATCATGGAGGATCATTCTCTTAAAACAAAGGAAATAACTAAAAATAGAAATGAAAGTGGAGGACTCCTTACAATACAGAAATTGAAAACAAAACTGCGAACAGAAAAATTCACTCAATGGGTTCCATACATGACTTCTTTCTGCCACGAGTGTGATACGTGTACACTTATAGTGACATTGTATCATAATGTGTTTTATTTATCCTCTTCTGTTATTGCTATTTAGAGGGTGGACTTTTGCTATTAGGGACTGTTGGATGTAGGGTTTTATGTTTGTTTTATTTAATATTTACTAACATAGTTTTCTGTATTCATTCTTGATGTTGCCTCTACTTTGGAAGTTTAAAGCTGAAAAAGCTGATGATACCGTACTCTTTTTGGTAGTATATGGAAATGTCCTTAATAATACACTAACTATTCCGTTTATGTTTTTGCTCTTGCCCTCCTTCCAGAAGGTGAATCTTCAGTAAGCGAGCCAATGATTTCTCCAAAGGGTCTATTACTTGTAACACATGAACCTAGCTCTGTAACCACTGCTCCTGGTCCTCACATCAGAGGAAGACCATTGAAGACCTACTCATTAGGTGACAGAGAAGTTGATGTATTACTGCCTGGTACAGCGAGGTCAGTTTTCATTATGGCTATTTTGTCCCGTTTGACAACAATTTTGAAAAATTAAAACGTCTATAGACATATATATATTTATTTATTTATTTATTTATTTATTTGAGTTGTTTAAAAAACATTTGAAATGTTTACCTAAATTAAGACGAGCTTTATTGAATGTGGTCTACATTTTGTCCATCTTTAGTCAAACCGTACATTTTGGTTTTGGCCTTATAGTAGTTTGTGACATTTTCCTACTACTTCGCAGTAATATTTATAAAGCTCTAGCATGCCAAGATTTAAGACCAACCGTCTCTGCTAAGTACTAAATTCCACATAAATCTACAATGTAAGGCTTTCAGGACAAAAGATTCACCTTCTTAGGGATTTTAACCTTTTACCGAGAGGTGAACATAGCAGCCCTCTCACTGGAGAACATTGCTGCCTTTTAACTGAGCGAAAGGGGCAAAGAATAGAGAAAAACGAACAAGAAGAAACACCCGCAGACTGATTAGGATCCCAAGCTCTTGCAAATGCCTTCTCCCAAGATAAACCCTATGATAGAAAATAATAGGAAAAAAGCCTGCCACTTGTAAAAGCCCGCCACCTATTATAGCCCAAGCCCACCGCTGGCAGATATTGTCCTATTTGAGTTTTCTCTTTCGAGTTTCCCCTCAAGGTTTTTAAAACGTGTCACCCTTATAAAGAATGTTTCGTTCTTCTCTCCAACCGATGTGCCGTCTTACAATCATCCCCTCCCCCCCCCCTTCGGAGTCCAGCGTCCTCACTAGCACTTGTTCCCTTCTCCAATCGATGTGGGACCCCCAAAATCTATTCCCCTTCGGGGTTCAACATCCTTGCTGGCACAGCACCTCATGTCCACCCCTTTGAGGCTCAGCCTCTTCATTGGCACACCATTAACAAATATTGTCCTCTTTGTGTTTTCCCTTTCAGATTTCTCCTCAAGGTTTTTAAAGCACATCTATTAGGGAGAAGTTTCCACACCCTTATAAACAATGTTTCGTTTTCCTCTCCAACTAATGTGGGATCTCACACCTCATCCACTGACTCACTGTGTATGAGAAGACAACAAAAACCAAAAGAAAGAGAGGATGACTTGGAGGCAGACAAAATCGAGGCAATCAAGTGCAACCCCTTATCAGACAAGTGATAAAGGGCGCAACTTATACCCTTAAAGGGGCTTAACATCCACCACCAATCCCTGACATAGTATTTTACAAACTTAGAAATAATGGAAAACTCAAGGTAATAACAATCCTTTTTCCTAGAGATTTTCAACCCAATACTTGGGCCACTCAAAATGGTGCAGATCATACATACTCATAATGATTCTATACCATAGAGTATGAGATTCCTTGGACAACTACCACAACCATTTTTCTAGGGAAGCCTCATTTCATAATCTCATTTTACCAATGCCTAAACCTCTGGCCTCCACTCTGAAACAACCTCTCACCTGGCACGATAAGATCCACCGTCCTTCTCAATTCCTTCCCATAAAAAATTCCTCACTAGATTCTCTAAGTTCTTACAAATAGAGATTGAGAATCTAAATAAGGAGAAAGATTAATAGGAATCCACTCAACCCATCTAAGTCGAAGTAAACATCACTCCCTTAAAGAGAGAAGTCTTCCGGGAAGAGAGCCTTCTTTACTTTCTCCACCAGAGTTCTAGAATGACACAAGTCCCAAATATAAATGGGAGCTTACTAACCTCACAACCCACTAACGACCTCTAAGAGTCTACTTTAGAGGGATCACAATTTAAACCAATGATCATACTTTTCTCTCCATTTATCAAGGTCTGAATTAGCTTCAAAAAATGACAAAAGGCCATTAAGATAACAACAGAGGCCTCCTTCCTGCGTGGGAAAAACGGTATCATTTGGAAACTAAAGAAGGGACACATGAATACTCTCAGATCCCACTTTAAAGCCCTCAACTAGACCCCAATGTTTCCTATCGATACCAACCAGATGAAATTTTCAGCTGTTTCTTTTCTTTGAGTTATATTCAGAGCCTATTCCAAAGTTAGTTTTTCTTAAAAAGGTGGAAAAAAATTTCTTCTCCCAAGATTCAAGGAAAAATAGAGGCCTTCACCTCTCAACAAGAAAACTTAAAGATAAGAACCGGCCTAGATCTGAATGTCATATACCTTCTCCCACCTTCACACAAGTTTTGCACGAGAGGAGAAAAATGGAGAAAGAAAATGAAAAAAATATAGATGTAAATAGTTGCACTAAATTAGTTAATAGTTGTTACACATAGGAACCGAATGAAAATCTATATTCTAATTTAGGAACCAAAAATGTATTTTACTCTTCATATTGTAATTGTAAATATAAAGTTTATAACATAATAGCCAACTAAATACTTAAACCTTTAATTTTTACTAATGTTTAAAACGTTTCGCCAGGGAATAATATAAAAAACCTTTTGGGTTCTTACTCTTGATATTGAAAATGGAACGAATTGTTGTTATTTGAATGATCAACTGTGGACAGAGTGAAATGTTGCTTTTTAGTCAGATCATGCTCATAAATTGCACTTCTTTTTCTTCTTTTGGCTATGAACAGCTGACGATCTTGAAATTTTCCTTTTGATATTGTCTTAGTAGACATTTTTTGGAAACTTAATTCCTTGTGACTTTCTTTAATCTTCGTTTGGTGAGTGGATTTCAAGAAACTCTTGAAATTCTCTCTTGAATTTCCATTCTTTGGAACAATCCCGTTAATCATCAAATAACAACAATCTGTACCCTATAATTGAATCGAAGTTGGTTTATGGTTCAAAATGTCTCGAGTCATCTTCTGTTTCGAGGCATTTACATGAATCGAAGATAAATACAATACCATTTGTAATTATCTTTTTTCCTTAAATTTAAATGTCTCCATTGAGTTAGGAGTTCGAAACTCTGAATTTGAAAATGCAAACAAACTGAAACTAATTCAATATCAAGAAAATGCCTTTGATATACTTGTTGCAAGAAACAGTTGTAAAAAAGATATAAAAGAACTCAAAAGTGTTGAGGATGGTTGGGCGGAGTCCCACATCGACTAATTAAGGGGATGATCATGGATTTATAAGTTAGGAATACATCTCCATTGGTACGAGGCCTTTTGGGAAAACCAAAACTAAAGCCATGAGAGTTTATGCTCAAAGTAGACAATATCATACTATTGTGGAGGTTCGTGATTCCCAACAAAAAGTAGATATAGATGAAATTATTGTAAACCAAAATTCACCAAAGACTTAGGGTGGTAATCCATTACACAGAAATTTCTGTACTAGCAACAATATGTAGCTCATAATTAACAGCCATTTTCTTTTTGTATGGGCAGATTTCGAGTGCAACTGGGAGTAAATATGCCAGCCCAGGCTAGCCACAAGCTTCTTGATGATAAGTCGGAGTCTTCAGAAGTAGAACTTTTTGAGTTATACGACGTAGTTCTTTACATGGGCATTATAGATATACTGCAAGAATACAATTTGAAGAAGAAGCTAGAGCATGCGTGCAAGTCTTTAAGATTCGACCCTCTTTCGATATCGGTCGTGGAGCCTCATTTGTACGCCACACGATTCAAAAGGTTCTTGGAAAAGGTCTTCCATGACTTGCCATGAAAAATGTAAGTAAACCAGCTTGTATCTGTATTTGTTTTTGGTTTTTTGAGTTGTGCTCTCTTTCCTTTGTTTTTGTCGTCCTTATTGTGTTCTGTGTTAGATGATTTGCTTAAGTTGCCTTTGAAATAAAGAGTACAGGATCATTTTACAGTCATTCATTGTAAAGGTAATAAATGTTTATTCAATAAATGGACCATAGTTTTATTCTACTGAGAGAATTCAGTGTGTTTGTTTGTTTGTATTTAAAATCAACTCATCCTTAGAGTCTCTCCGAACGACTCAATTTTTCGACATACTTGCTTGAGTAACGATACAGGGAATGGAATTCGATTAGTTCCTAAAAATCATGGATCATCTATACGTGTTCCATACGGTGACATTAACACTCAGCTCACTTCATTTGGTTACTTTGGTGGCTAACTATCCCAACATGTAACTGCCACAAACCACAACAATCATATCATGCATTTTAATCGTACTTTAAATCATACAATACATGAAGCATTTTACTTACAAGCATATTCAATATGGTTAGATCAAAATCAGTTCAACTCAACCAAATTGAACTAGCAACTGCCATGGTTATATGTGATGGCTGTCAACGGTGGGTCCCTATTGCTACGGTTGGAGGAAAAACTCCCAAGTTAGAGGGAGCAATATTTGACCAAAAAAAGAACCGCGAAGACAAATTGATCAAGGGATTTTACTTAAGGAAAACAAGCCGATGAAAGCACATCGTGGTCGTATTGTGAGACTTCATGCATATTGTATGTCACGTGAGCATAAATTACTTATCGAGAAATGTTATATATGGATACGGACACCATGTTATTATGCATACTCTTTTTTCATTGATTTTGAATAAGGTGGTCATGCAGTAGCCCATAGCTAGGCATAATAGGTTCATGTGTGTGCGTGAAATATGTATCAAGAACTACTATGTATCATGGCCATAATTTTTCAACCGTGTGGCATCATAATCTTAACACGCTCACGACTAGCCTTGAGGAAAATCCAAGTCCCATATTCATTTTTCACCCGATTTTGTGGCTTCGTCAAGACTTTAGGCAAGGTCATCTTCGTCAACCGAACATCCCTTATGCAAAATGCAAGCTTGTTTGGTCACACACTCTACCTGCACGTGCATGTTCAATCATCTGCTACACAACCAACTTGTCTCTACATTACGCCAAGTCATTCTCCTCGATCTGGCCTTTACTCGAGGCCAAGGTCTCTCATGTAAAACGTTGCATCTCATCAAGTCATCTTGGTTCCCAATTAACATGACTCATATTTCTTAATGCCAACTCAAGTCACGGGTGTCATTGGCTATCATAGCTGACTCGATCATGCCATCAAGAATGGACCACGTGCCGTTCATAACATAGGGACATCTCAAACATCCATCCATTTGGGTTCTATCGAGGCATTGGACACTCTCGTGTCCATGCCATATCATTTATGGACTTCGTACCGGATAGCAGGTGCATAATCCAACCTCCGACACCTGGCTAGGGTGCACTACCGGCACACTCGTGCAACCTAACAATGTCCTTGAAAAATTTATTTCAAAGGAAGTCGCTTGAGACACTCATCTGACAAATGTTCACCTTCACTATGACACATGTATGTGCCATAGGGTAGCTCACTTAGGTCACAGGCTCAGGAGTGGTGGAGAGCTAACACTATGTCTCCCCCTAAGGTACATTTTGAGGATTTTTCAATTCTCCTGGGGTAGACGTCATTTTGGCGAACGATCATACGATGTCGTGGAGCGTCTGTCCAGTGTCTGATTGACACCAAATTTGGCGAGCATTCATATTTCATATGGGTGGATTTGACTCTAGAATCGCATGCCTAAATTCTCTTCAGAACCCTGACTTTCGAAGTTAAGGCTCGGGGCCCTACCCGACCCTTCAATAAGCCTATCTTTCATGAAATGTAAAGTCCAAGGAACAATCATGAAAAGTAGGTACCAATAGTTATGAAGCATTTCACATGTGTGTACATTTTCTAACTCTAATCGCGGGGTCACTTACTAAGGATTTTTAAATACTCATTCTATATTTATAATATTTTTTATCGCTCGTAACGGTATATAATAAAATGGTGTAGAGTTCTATCACAATTAGCAAATAATAAGTGAATTATCGACTTGACATAGAACCCTTTTTTTTTTTTTTTTTGGTTACTTTTGTTGCTAAAAATTAAGCGAGTTTTTGGTATCATTCAAATGGGTGTTGGTGAGTTTAAGCTAATTAAACAAAATTTATGGAGTGTCTCACTCTTGTCGAAAAAAAAAGAGTAATGAGAAAATCAACAATAATGAAGAATGTTCGACTAAGATAGATTAAATAGATAAGTTGTTGAAATTTGTGGTAGAATTTAGTTCCATTTAATAGATTTCCAAGCCCACTTCTAGGGTCAAGCATAGTGCTTACTTCCATAATCGTTTTGTAATTTCTTACTAACAAGACTCTAGAAGAAGAATTATTTCTAACCCTTCAGTTACATTCAAGTATCCTTAAACTACGTAAAACTCTCTTGCTTTTCTTATAAGATTTAGCTCTCCATACAAATTGATTAAACAGAGGAATCCACCTCTCAATTATGTAAAATTTCTTATTCTAAGTAAAAGATTAGAGAGTTATCAAGATTTGTTGCTATCCTTCCATGGAAATTCTATTCTTTTCAGCTCTTACGTCCACCTTTTTGCCTTAATCTATATTTCTTGATCTTCTTTTTCTTCTATTGCCAACCGCCGTTGAATTAGGGTTCTTCTTCTTACTCTTTGGTTTCACAACAGTAGAGCCCTTTGTTGTCTATTCCGTTTTCCCTTTTTGGTGGCTCCATCTTTTAATGAATCGTTTTTTTTTCCTTTTATATGGTTCATTGCTTCCGATTCAGGGTGTCCACCTAGGATGTTCCTAATTGGGTAGTCTATCACCCACCTTGTGATTTGGATTATAATTGTCATGTCATCCCCGAAAAATTAACTTTCTGTATTACTTTAGCACTAGTGTCACCAAGTTATTTCCAAATTTTCGAGCAGTGTTGTTTCTTTTTTTCAAATTTGGTACTAATTCAGCATAAATGTTATGAAATTTTACCAAATAACTCAATTAAATATACAATTACGCTCGATTTATGCAAATTGATATTCTTTTCAATTTCGAGATTTGCCAGGAGGGTTGTTTCTTATTTCCAGATTTGGTACTAATTCAATATAAATGGCTTGTTTCTAGATTTGGTACCAATTTATAAATGTTCTGACATTTAATTCAGCATCAATATTTTGAAATTTCACTAAATAACTCAATTAAATAAACAATTAAGCTGATATTCTTTTCCCGACGAACCACTTAGTAACACTCTTTATCCTTTATAGAACTAATTTTTGTTTTTTCTGTGTACTATCTTGACATTTTCGTACAAGGGGACATTCCTAAAGAATTTTTTATGGCAATGCATCATCAAGCTTCACAGTTTTAGAATATATCTAACATGCATTTCTTCTTCCTCCCACTCGTTTTCCGTTTCTAACTAAATTTCATTCTTCTCCCACGACCCATGATTTGTTTGGGCTCGTTAGATCTTCTTACAATTCTCCATTTTCCACTGTCTAATTCATTTCAAAAATCGCTCTTTTTTTTTCCTTCCAAATTTTCTTTAATTCCTTATGTTTTTACTTTACTCACTTTTACGTCAAAATCATCTTAAGCTGAAGCTAGCTCATTCCCTAAACAACGTGGACCAGGAGAGGAAGAGTATTCCCCGCAATGACTACGACCGATTCATCTCAACGTCTCTTCGTCATACAGAAATAAAAGAACAACGGACCGATTTGTAACTTTTTAAATAAAGAAAGCCTATTTTTCGTATCAACTTCAGTTTATCTAAGTTTATAAAGTCGGTCATTACGTAATTTACTCAAATTCAACTTATTTTATTAAAATGTAGAATTTAAATAAATACATGAGATCAATAATTAATCTAAATAATTGCACGGTATCCCATTAATTATTTAATAAAAATTTGTTACACAAAATATATATATATATATATTGGGGAATAATGCTTCTGTGTATAAAACGACATCCACGTAACTCATTCGCCACAAAATGCCAAGCAATTTAAAACCACATAATTACCCCCAAAACTCCTAATTTTTTAATATATATATATATATATATATATATATATATATATATATATATATATAATTTATAACTTCGAAGCTTTAATTTATAAATAAATAAATTTGAGCATACAATTTTTTAAAAAGAAAATAAAAGAATAATTCCAAAACAGTTTTCTTCCCAAGCAAAAAAAATAAAAAAATAAATTTAAAAAAATACCTCCAAAACTATAAAATACACACTTTTTTATTTTTTTTTTCTAAAAAAACGTGTTTACAGATATTAAAAAATTAATAAATTTTCAAAAGTATTGTTTAAAAAAAATTAAAATTTAAAATTTCCTAACCTTATGATTTTAAAAAAATTATATATTTTTTTAAATTTATATTTTGCCGTTTGTTATTACTATTTGTAACAATTTCATTATTAAATTTTAATATTCAAACTTATAAGAATCTTAGTATCTATATTAAAAAAAATAGTTTTTATTATATAATGACTAAGAAATTCGTTAAATCTTAATATGTTTTTTATGATAAGGACTAAATTGTTACATGTTGCACATTAAAATTAAACGGCTCAGTTGTCGTTTAGGGACTAAATCGTTACAACTAGAGCTTAAAGATAAAATTGTACTCTTATCGAGTAGTTTCCAAACGTCCGATTTCAACTCTTTCTACTTGTTGGAACCACCTAGTACAAAGCTTTTGAGATGTGGGGATGTTCCTAGCTTGAGTTTAATGTTACAAATTGTAACGTGCCGTTTTTTTTTTTTAAATCGAATAGTCGTCGTTGGAGTTCTCGAGCAATGCTTGGGAGAAGCGCAACACGTCCCATGGATCGCCAAATGGATAGTCACGTTTCAGCCAACCCTCCCAAACTCTCCGTGAACACCTGCGAACGAAAAACATAGGGAAAAACCAAGAGAGAGAGAGAGAGAAATGGCGAAGCGTTTTACAGGGAGCTTGACGCCTAGAACGACCAAACCACGCTATGAAAAAAATCTTCGATGATTGTACGTTCATCCAAAGTACGTTTCGTGCTTTTCCAACGTTAGTTGTCGGAAATGGGTTATGAGT